TGATGAATATGCTGATGTTGATGGTAAGTGTAATGTTGATGTTGCTGACGATGAGGATGAGGATGGTGATGAAGAGGATATTGGTGATGGTGATATTGAGGATGAGGGCGAGTATGAGGACGAGGACGACGAGGGTAAGGACTAGCATGAGGACGAGGATGATTATGCTTATGAGGAGGAGGAGGAGGAGGTGGAGGAGGAGGAGGAGGAAGAGGAGGAGGCGGAGGAGGAGGAGGAGGAGGGGGAGGAGGAGGGAGGAGGAGGAGGAGGAGGAGGAGGAGGAGGGAGGAGGAGGAGGAGGAGGAGGAGGGAGGAGACGGACGAGGAGGAGGAGGAGGCGGAGGTAGCGAGCGATGAAGAGCGAGTCCGAGCGTACGGACCCGCTTCAGCGGGTAGAAAGTGGTGAGCCGCACGGCGAGGCTGCTAGCCATCGCACCGTGCCGCTTGACCTCGACCGCGCCGTCCCCACCTCGTCGGAGTACCGACGGAGGAGACCTGGCGTCGAGGTCATCATGGGCAAGGGTCCCCCGACCTGGGGTGCAGCCCTCGCAACGCACGTGAGATCTGCATCTCCTCGTTCGCGCGAGTGGAAGCCACGTCCGAATGTCCCTTGCATTGGGCTCGCAGCTTGCGGTTGCGGCCTCCAGCCGCACTAAACGCCCCGCAGCAGAGGCAGATGACCGTGGAGCCAAAACGCTCCACTCCATGGCCGAGTTCCGAGTACAATTCCACCTCCCGATCGACCCCGACGGCGACGACGTCAGCCCCCACTCCCCCATCCTCACGAGGGCCTTCAGAGGGCCCTAGGCCTTCATCAAGGCCAGCAGCACGCACGGCGGCGTCCACCGCACGTGAGGCGTGCCGATAGCATTCGGGGGTGAGGGCAAAATAACGCGTCGCCATCGCTCTCTGAAGATCCGTCGGCTCGCATCGCTTCGCTCGAAGGGCCTTCAAGGAATCGGTCGTCCGCGCGAACCTGTTGCACTGCTGGCACCTGTATTCAGAAAGCCTCTCACAAACTCGAAACTCATGCGAGTCTAGCACAACCTGCGGGGCGGCGCCATCACGACAAACCAGAGACGGCACAACTTCCCTAGGTTGGAGCTCGGCATTCTTTTTGGCGACCGCTTGGGCCATCCAAGCAAAGACCTGCGAATGGTCTTTGGCCGCCTTCATGGCTTGCTTATAATAATCCTGCATGGTTCGGCCAGTTGAATGCACCTGGGCCCCTCGCTTGGCGAAAAAATCAGCCCACTCGTTGGCAACGAAACGGGCAAAATCGCAATCTGGGGCCTCCAATACTTCCGAGAGCTCTCTGTGCGCAGGGACCCACTCGAAGGTAGGAGGAGCCTCAGGACAGCGCCGCCGTATTTTTTCCCACACAGCCGCGTGTCGACCGCCAGAGGAGGCAGCGGCCCCCGACCAGGCACACCCCTCACGCACAAGATTCAGGTGATCAGACACTACGATTGCAGGCTGCTGCGCAACTTCAACTGCTTTGAGCGCTGCGTAGTGCTCTGCACGTGGCACCGTCTGTACCGCTCCTGGTAGCGCGCCAAAAATTGCACGCAAAACGTTGCCAGCCTCGTCGACCTCCACCACAGACCAGCCGCAGCGGGCCAGCTCTGGGATCGACGACGCTTGGCCGCTTCCGTCGGTGTACACCCTCCGCCCCCATCGCCCGCGCCAGTCCCCCCATCCCAACACGGGATACACGTCGCTCGGGGGCGACAGCGCTGGTGGCTCGGGCGGCAAACCGGAGCTGAGATAAAATTGATCCGCTCCAGATTGCGAATTATTCTTGGCCTTGATGGCCTTCCTCAGCTCGAGGACATAATCTGGAACAGGCACGTCCAACCCGTCGAACATGGCTTCGCACTCAAACCATTGGTGAGACTCGTTGCCAGTCGCTTGCTTGCATACAAAACATTGCGGGGAATTGCGGAGGCCGATGCTGTGCAAACGCTCGGGGGTCCAAACACCAGCCGACCAAAGCGTGCGCAAGGCGCCTCGCCTCGCAACATCTCTTACCGCAAGTACTGCTTTCCTCATTCCCCTCCTCCAGCAGCTCTCTCCAAGGCTGTTGGGAAGGTGCTGAAGGATCCTAACTACTTGCCAGCGGCGAAGGCTTTCCTCCAGGAAGGCTTTCACGTCTCCTGGGCAATGCCTAACTAAATCGACGTGGCGACCTCGATCGTCCACAAGCACTGTTGGAGAAAACATCGTCCAACCCACACGCAGCAGCGTGACCCAAACAGAGGCGATGGGGCCACGAGCTCTGGTCCACGAGGTGCGTTGGTCTAGCTTCGCCCTGACCGCCTCCCAAGCTCTACGGAGCCGTCCAGGCGCGACCCTATTATCCCAAATGAACGACGCAAACCTAACCACCAAAGGAACCGTCGCATCAAAGATAGGGTCGAACCTGTCGTCTCGCTGCGTTGCTAAAAACAGGGTGAGCGACGCCTTGGGCTTGGCCCCGCACATGCCTCCAGCAAACGTCCTAAGCTCTCGAATCGCCGTGTCAGATATCCCTGACACTCCAGCGCCGTGGCCGCCCGCTGGGAGGAGCCCCGTCCTCCACAAGGATTTCACGGCCTCCCCCGCGGCGTGCTTCAATCCCCACACTTTGCGCCTACGAGCCTTGAGATTCTTAAGACGCATCTTTTCTTGCACACGCAAAACCCTAGTGCCGTGCATCTCGTGACCTAGATTGCGCATCGCTCGCTTCGCTCTCATACGAAGAGGTGTCACCAAACGAGCGAATCTATCTCGGCCTCGGCTCGTGTTCGCCACAAAACCTGACTTGCTCGGCTGGACCACTAGCCCGAGCGGTCTCACGCTGAGACAAAAACTGTGTACTGCATTGGCCAAGTCTCTAGCCTGACCTTCGCTCTCTCCTTCCCTGGTACGCTCGCCAGACCAGTGGAAGCTCACATCGTCGATCAGCGCTCGCGGCGTGACCGCGGGGTATATAGTCATGCAATCCTGCAGGCTTCTATGCAACAAAACCCGTAGCATCGTAGTGGCCAATGAACAGCCTGCTAGGATACCCTGGTTAGACTGCACTGGAAAAGACAGGGAGGCAAATGCACGCAGGCAGCGGGGTTGCAGATACGTCTGAATCGTCATCCAAGCTAATCTCATCGGAAACCGATTCAGCCTAGCCTGGTGGAGCAGGCTCTGCAAAATGACAGTCTCATAGCATTTCAACATATCGATAAATACTGTGAGGCTGTCCTCTCCTAACTCGTGCGCAATCTCGGCCTCTAGATTCAATGAAAACGCACTATCCGAGCTCGACCTACCAGCTCCCGTCCCCCAGAAACAATCGAGGTCATGCTCCACCTCCCAGGCGGCCGCAATGGGCCTGCGGGCTCTGCCCCAGACTCTCAGAAGCGTGTTCAAGAGCGCGATCAACCTACATCCTCCCGACGCCTTGGGGAGGCGAACAAGCTGCGTCAGCAGTCTGCGAGATGGCCAGATCAAGAGACTTTCACACTTCATCAAAAGCTTCGCTGAGGCCGCCAGGCCTGAATTGCTCAGAAAAATTAAACTGCGAGGAGCAAAGCTGAACTGGCCGACTCCCGTCGCCCATGGGAACTGAAGACTGGATCGCTGCAAGTCCTGCACAGACAAGGGCGGGAGCTCCTCCCAGTCCTTCGCTTCGGCTGGCAGCTGTGGGGCGGCGGCGTCGTGCATCGACCAGATCTCCTCCCAATCCCTCATGGCCTTGTCGGCTAACTGATACGGCTGGGCAGGCGTGCGAGCGGTCACGTTTGCATTAACCACCTCCTGCAACGCTCTCCCTTGAGGAGGAGGAGGCGGAGGAGGAGGAGGAGGAGGAGGAGGAGGAGGAGGAGGAGGAGGAGGGAGAGGAAGTATGACGAGGGAGGAGGTGGAGCATGAGCAGAAGGAGGAAGATGAAGAGGAGGCGTAGGAGGAGGAAGGCGAGCATAAGGAAGATGATGTTGAAGGTGCACGCGTTCACTCTAATTTGGTGAACCCTAGGTGGGAGGTTGAGGAGGAGGAGGAGGAGGAGGAGGAGGAGTAGGAGGAGGGGGATGAGAAGGATTATGAAAAGGTGTGAGGGAGAGAAGGAGAAGCTTCCGATGGCCCTCCGAGGCCTCGAGGTGGCTCCAAGATGGCCCGAGAGGGCCCCAAGCGGGTCCCAAGAGGGGGTCCCAAGATGGTTCCAAGAGCGCCCAAGAGCGCTCCAAGAGTGCTCCAGGAGGGCGCCAGGAGGCGACGTTGGGGGCTCCAGCGGGCCAGTGCTCTCGGAAGCCCCCCTTTGTTTGGTCGATGTCCTCCAAGATGTCTCCACGAGGGCCCCCGAGCCTCCCAGGAGGGCCCCAAGACGAGCCCCAGGGGCTCCCCAAGTGGACCCCGAACAGCCCCAAGAGCCCCAAGAGCGCCCCTGGAGGACTCCAAGAGGTGATTTTTCGAGCCCGAGAGGGGCAACCCTAGTCCGCGCCGCCCCCTTGTTTGAACGATGACTCCTGAGGTGGCTCCAAGAAGGCCTCGAGACCCTCAAGAGGGTCCCAGACCCAGCGCCGATCTGGGCAATCCGCGCGAACCTCCGAAAGCGTATGTTTACTCAGTTCGTTCCTTCAACAGCTCATTTGCAAGGTTTCCGTACTTCTTCTAGCACCCAGTGAAGGACGTGGCCCCCCACCGTGAACTGCGTCAGGCTGTTTAGGGTACTCTGCGCTGCAAGGTATTCGTTCCTCCAGCCGCTCCCCGTGGCAGCAATCCGCGCGGTGTCCTCCGGAATCTGCTTATGACATGCCGGTCTTCCTCAGGTCACCCCACCCTCCCTCGCAACCGCTCTGGGCTCCAGTGCGTCCCCGAGCGCACCGACGGCGCCCGCCAAGCCGCGAACACCCGCAGCCAGACACCGCCCGAGGCGCCCTCTCGTGATGGCGATGCGCTCCGTGCTGGCCCTGCTGCCGCTGCTGCGGGCTGCCTCCGCGGCGCCCGCCGCCGAGGCCCCGGCCCGCCAGCAGAGGGCCGCTGGCGGCGACGCCCCGGGCGCCGAGCTCGGCGGCTCCTGCGCGTACTACGGCTGCAGCGAGACGTTCCGGGTGATGTGGGCCCCCCGGGGGGTCCGGCCAACGCGCGCCACGACGCGAGCAGGGCTCGGGCCGGACGAAAGGGGGGGATTGGGACAGTGGGGGTTACGAAATCTGCTGCATGCAGCTGGTTTCGGCCCCACCGAGGGGCCCATTCCTCGATACATGGCCGCCTCCCGGCGCCGGGAGGCGCCGGGAAAATCAGCTACGTGAGCTGATTCTTAAACCCCCCCTTTGCTATCCCCCCCCTTTCGCCCGGCCCGAAGGGCCTGAGGAAGAGGCGGGCCCCAATGGAGCCTGTACGCACTTTCCAGGGGCTGCTGGGGCTTCCATGAGGGGCGCGTTTTCCACAAGGGCGCCTTCGAGGGCGCGAAGTTGTTCGCGCTTCGCGCTTCGCGGTTCGGCTCCGATTCCTCCTCATCCTCCTCTTCTCCCCTGGGAGGCGGCGCGAGAGCGCGAACTTATTTGCACTTCGCGCTTCGCGCAGCGCGAAGCGCGAAGTTGGGAGCCCTTGTAGGAGGTGGAGGGTGAGGAGGAGGAAGAAGAAGAGTGGGAGGAGGGCCCCCTCCCCCCTCAAACTTACGGTGGTGGTGGTGGTGGTGGAAGACAGGCCCATCATTCCACGGGCAGCTTGACTTGGGGGAGAGCCCTGGGGTCAAGGACCCCTCTCCCTCAGGGCCCGCTTGTTTCATGCCAGGACTTCCAACGTCGTCGGCACCATCCCCACCCCGACTGGGACCTTTCCGACCCCCCCCTGGAGGCCCAGAGCCCGAATCGAGCTACAGCTCCGGGAGCAGAACGTGCGAGTCCAGGGTTTGTTGACAGGTGTTGGAGACTAAGCTGGATCCCGACGCGATCGGCCACCATTCAGGAGTCCCTCGCCACACGCCTTCAGGACCCCGCCCGCGGGTCGCGCGGAAGAAGGACCCGCTGATGGACCCGCGCTGCGCTGGGCCCGTCCCTTTCCTTCACCCCCTGCCTTTGTATTGTGCATCCCTTCCTCCTTCCTCGCCTCCGTCCTCGGCTCCTCCTGTCCCTCTTCAAGCCCTTTTTTGTTCTTGTGGCGTGGTGCCTCCTCTTCTCCCCCTCGGCTCACTCTCCTCCGCCGGACGGCCGCTGTCCCTCGCGGTTGTCGGTCTGTCTCAATCTGCAGTTTGCTGCAGCTCCTCGCTCCTCGCTTCTCTCTTCGCTTCGCGTGGCCCCAGTTGCCCTTGTCTCGCTGGCGCCTTGTCCTGATTCTGGCTGGCGTGCTGCCTGTCCTGCATCGCGTGAGTTCTCTTTTTGTCGCCCAGCTTGAGCTGGCTTTGGCAAGGTCGTTACTGGTGGGTGCCTTTGCGGCTTCTTCGTCCCGCTTGCGACGCTCAAACAGTGTGTGTTTGTGTGTATGTGTGTGTGCGTGTGGAGTTGGCGCCCTCCCACAGGCCTGCCAGTGCAGCCCCGGCTGCGAGCTGCAGGACAACTGCTGCTCCGACTACGCGACCACGTGCCGCGCGCCCGCGCGCGCCCTCCTCGACGACGGCAGCGCCGCCATGGCCCTGCGCATGGACGACCGCGCGCCCTGGAAGCAGGAGGGCGAGCGCGACGGCACCCCCGCGGCGCCGCAGCCGGACGCTGCGGGCGGGCTCGCGGCGCCGAGGGAGGCGACGGGGAGCCTCCAGCACGACGCGCAGCAGGCGGCGCCGCAGCGCAGCACGCAGCTGGTGCAGCTGCCCTCGCAGCCCCTGACGCCAGCGCGCCCCGCCCTGCCGCCCGCGCCGAGCCCGCCGCCCCCGCCGCCGCCCGCGGAGCAGGCGCCGCAGGAGCCGCCGCGGCAGGCTCCGCAGGAGCCCGAGCCGGTCGAGAGGCGGCGGGTTTCAGTCGGGCGTGTCCCTCTACAGTTAAGTCGAGCCTGTCCCCCTACAGGGGGACCTTCGACGAAAAATAAGAAATACCCCCAAAATGCCCCAAAAAGGTGAAAATGCCTACAGGAGGAATACAGTCGGCCCGGATTCGTAGTCAAGCAGTGGCGCAGCGTCACCAAACAACGTTCTGAGAACCTTCTTTGTGGTTCCCACGGAATGTTCTCAGAACATTTCTGGCGGAGATTGTCTTGTTTTAACACATCGGGCATATGTTCTAATAACATCGTTGTTATTCTTAATCAATTTTTGGGTTCTAATAACATTTCGTGGTAGGACTATAGGAATGCCGGGACGGTCGGTTCCTGCTCAAAGTAGGTCTACCCTGTCAGCTCAAGGGTGCTCTTGTGTCCCGTGCCTCGCGCCTCGCGCCTTCTGACACTCCTATGGCGGTGTGGCCCTCGGAAGGGTCTTGTGTCCTCTCGCGTGTCCTGTCCAATCAAGGCCTGCTGTATTCAAACATAGTCAAGACATGATACGGGCACGATGCTTGGATGCTTGCCTGGCGCTTTTTGAACATCTCTTTTGGCAGTGCCGCATTCTTCTTCTTTCAGGGCCCGCCTGTAGGCGGACATGCCCGACTTAACAACGGGGCTTGGGAGCGTGTCCGCTGCCGTGGGCACATCGGACATGAAGTCGACCTGCCACAGATGGGGCCCCGTGGAAGCCTCGCGCCCGCCGATGGCCCCAGGGACGCCCAGGAGCTCTGGGCCACCCTCCTTCGGACCCTCAGCAGGTTGATGAAGAAGGTGCCCCACCACTTCGTATAGCAAGAGTTCTTGCCGTATGCTTATGATGCTTTACTTTAGCCGTGTCCACCAGAAAGAAGTTCGAGCACCAGGAGAGTACCGAAATTGGAGGGTTTTCGCGTGTCGGGCCCTGGGAGGCGACACTCGTTCGACACGGTTTCGATACTTTTCCCTCTGTGCTCGAAATTCTGTCTGGGATGTGGTCCTGAAGTACGATGGGAACAGCATAAGTATAGCAAGACTTCTTGTCGTAGGTGCCTGCTGCATCCTGTTTCCCCCCATCCCCTTACCCCCCCCCCCCTCTTTGCCTCCTCCTGGGGGGAGGGGAGACGCGCAGCTGCAGTGAACATCCGTGCGCGGGGTGGGGAGGCAGCAGCCGCTCCTTGGGTGGACTGCCCGGGCCCCAGGCAGACCCAGCAGACCACGGAGGACCTCCGGCCCAGGCCCGAGCCCGCCAGCCAGCTCGACCCGCCGCCGCCGAAGAAGAAGCCGTCCGCCTGGATCCTGCCGCTGGCGGGGGCCTTCGCCGCGGCGGGGACGCTGCTCCTCGCCATCGCGGGGGCGCGGCAGTGCTGCAGGGGCACCGCCGCGCCCCGGGGGCGGCCCGGCGCGGTCGCGCCCCTCCGCAGCCCCCGGGACAACTCGCCCCTGATGGTGTCCCCCAGCCGCCAGGATGAAGTCGGGCGTGTCCCTCGAGAGGGGGAATATCCAGAGATAGTTTTAAAATGGCATGGGGACGATTCTATACATTATATATATATATATATAAAACGTGTTGTGGGTATTCTGTTGGGTATGTTTTATTCGTTTGTCCAAAACCCGCCTGTAGGGGGACATGCCCGACCTGACGCCAGGATCCGTACGAGGAGGACGACATCGTCAACAGCTTCGAGAGCCAGGTCAAGGAGGCGAAGCAGCGCGCGAAGAGCCTGACGCGCAAGTCTCACTCGCCCCCCGCAAGACCGTCCAGTCGCTGAGGCGCTGGAGGTGGGTCGGCGTCGCGCGGGAGTGGGCAGGGCAACGGTGGGCGGCTTTCCTCCAAATGGCCCCCCCCCCCTCGCCTCGCCTCTCAGATGTCCTCCTGCAAGGGCGCCCTCGAGGGCGCGAAGTTATTCGCGCTTCGCGCTTCGCGGTTCGGCTCCGATGATTCCTCATCCTCCTCTCCTCCCCTGGGAGGCGGCACGAGAGCGCGAAGTTATTCGCACTTCGCGCTTCGCGCAGCGCGAAGCGCGAAGTTGGGAGCCCGTTTCCTTATTCATTACTTTGCCGATAGGTGCGGGCCCTCGCCCCCCCCCTCCCCCCCCCTCATGAAGCAGGCCTTGGCTATTTTGGGCGCCTGTTTCAAGCAGGTGGGGTCTCACCCATAGGACGCACTGTTGCAAGCAGTCGCGCTGAGCAGATGTCCGGAGCCAGACCCCCCCCCTTCCGCCCGAGGTCGAAACGCCGAGAGATAAAGCGCTCACCTGGCTGCTGAGAGGCCTCCTCCTCAGGAGCCCCCGACAGCGAGCAGGCCGATCCTTTCTCTATTAGGTCGCCTGCAGGGGTGCGAGGGTGCGCGCGTCGCGCGTCGCGGTCTGGGCCAGAGAGCTGCCCCTTGTCCAGGGGGGCGACGCCAGGGTTACGTCGGGCATGTCCCTCTACAGGAGGATTCGTCAAGAATTGTCAAAGTTAAAAAAAGTCAGGGGACGATTTTCCGACCATTTATGGACTATTGATGAATCTGTTTGGCTACTTGTCATCTTTCTTCTCAAGTCCGCCTGTAGGAGGACATGCTCGATCGAACGCCAGGGTGCGAGAGCGCGGAGGTGGCCGTGCGTCGCGCCTCGCGCGGCGCGGTGTGCGAAGCCGGGCGACCCCTTTCCTGGGAGGAGGAGGAGGAGGAGGAGGCGGAGGAGGAGGAGGAGGAGGAGGAGGAGGAGGAGGAGGAGGAGGAGGAGGAGGAGGAGGAGGCCGCCCTCCGCCTGCTCGGCAGGCCGCCCCCCGTGGCCCTGGCCCCACGGGCGCCACCTATGCACGTTAACGAGCGAGAGGCCGCTGGGCAGCCCGCCAGGCAGGCCCGCCCGCCTGCCCCGCAGGCCGACCAGCCCCGCCTCGCCCGGACCCCCCCAGACATCGGGCGTCTGGACCAAAACCGGGGCGCGGCGGTTTTTCGCAGTCTTTGGCTTCTCGGGGCCCTCGCCAGGCCTCGGGGCCGTCAAGAGACGACTCGGGAGGAGACACCGGCCCCAGGGAAGAGTGGTCGGGTGGTCGGGGGCCCGTGTCCGAAAAAAATCGTGACGTCGGATGTTTGGGCCTGGCGCCCGTGCACTTTTGACGAGCGAAGGGCCGGTGGGCAGCCCGCCTGCTCCGCAGGCCGCCCTTTCCCTTCGCCCTGACCGGCCCACACACCTCCGGCGTCTCGGCTTCTTCGAGGCGCGGGCCCCCGAGCTATCCCGACCACTCTTCCCCGGGACCAGTGTCTCCTCCCGAGCTGTGTTTTTTGGACGGTCCCGAGGCCCAGCGAGGGCCCCGAGAGGCCAAACACTGCTGAACAGCCTCCGTCTTGACTTTATCGAACGTTACGAGAGGAGGAGGAGGCGGAGGAGGAGGAGGAGGAGGAGGAGGAGGAGGAGGAGGAGGAGGAGGAGGAGGAGGAGGAGGAGGAGGAGGAGCGAGGAGGAGGAGGAGGAGCGAGGAGGAGGAGGAGGAGGAGGAGGCGGAGGAGGAGGAGGAGGAGCGAGGAGGAGGAGGAGGAGGAGGAGGAGGAGGAGGAGGAGGAGGAGGAGGAGGAGGAGGCGGAGGAGGAGGAGGCGGAGCTGCGAGAAGCCTCCGCCTCGATTTTGGCGAGACGCCCGCTGCCTGGGCCTGGCGCCCCAGGGGCACTCTCGGCGAGAGGAGGCCGGCGGGCAGCCTGCCAGAGGCAGGCGCGGCCGGGCAGCGGGCAGAGTCGGCGGGGGCCGCGGCCGAGCGCCGTGGCCACTCGCCGCCGCCCCCTCCTCGCCCTAATTACTCGTCTGCCTCGGCCTCGTCCGCCGCCTCGTCCCCAGACATCGGGCGCCTCGAAGACGTCGCAGCGGGCGTTCTTGCGTACAGTTTTGGCCCCTCGGGGCCCTGGCCGGGCCTCGGGAGCGTCAAAGATCGACTCGGGATGAGAAGCCGGTGCCGGGGAAGTGGTCGGGAGGTCGGGGGGGGGGGCGTGTCTTGAACAAAGCGAGACGTCGGATGTGTGGGTCCATGTGAGGCGTTATAGACAAGCAAAACACACACACAAGAAGGGCCGTGCCTTCGAGGACCGAGGGAGTCGTCATCTCGGCTCGAGGATCGAAGGCTCGGTCGAGGATCGAGGACGGAAGGATCGATCGAAAGTTCGTGCCTCCGAGGATCGAAGGATGGATCGAGGATCGAGGATCCTCGACGGAAAGCGGCGGAAAGGCGGCGGAAGGCGGCGGAAGTAAAACGGCGGCGGCTCCGCCAGCGGAAGCTCGGCGGCGGAGGCAAAAGTCGACTTCCCAAGAGATGGCAACTTTCTGGGTTCAGTGTTTCAGCCGCCACCTGTCGCCGCGCCGTCTGTTCCGGCGCGCGGCCTTGCGTCCTGGGGAGGGCGCCGCGGCCACCAGGGCAAGCCCCGCCTCAGTGGCTAATACTTCGGGCGTGCCCTTCTACAAGGGGGAAATTCCCAAATAGTCAAACAAATAGTTTGGGGACGATGTTCCGACTCTGTTTGAGTATTTTTCGAGTCTGTCTAATTTTCGCCTCGAATCCGCCTGTATAGGAGGACGCGCCCGACCTAACTCAGACGCAAGGCTTGCCGCGGGGCTTGCCGCGGCTCCAGCTTCAGTTGCTTGGGCGCGTTGGGAACACACGGCGCGGCGACACATCGGCTCCTCAGGCGCAGCGGCAGGGCCGCAGGGGGGACGGGCTCGTGGAGAGAAGGCAGCGACCCCGAGTCGCCTATTGATCCGCGCCCAGGAGCGTGCGGATCCGCCATCGGTAGGGGGACGAACAACGACATAGACATAAGAAGTCGGAGGTCCGCGCGGAGTGCTTGGGTCGGCGCTGGGGCCCCCTGGCGGCGACTCTGGCGCCGCCCCTGGCGCGCTCCGCGCGCCAGGGAGGGGGGTCCAGCGCGGATCCAAGAAATCCGCGCGGACCTCCGAGTTTTTACGTTTATGCTTATGATGTTCCAGCCTACTTTAGCCTTAATCGCCAGGAAGAATTTCGAGCGGCCAGAAAAGTGCCGAAACTCAAGGGTTTTCACGTGTCGGGCCCTGGGAGACACTCGCCCGACACTGTTTCGACACTCTTCTGACACCTTTCTGGGTGCTCGAAACTATTTCTGGGATGTGGCCCTCAAGTAGGATGGGCACAACATAAGTTTATGTCATGTCTCGCTCCCCTAATCCTAAGTCGGGCCTGTCCCCCTACAGGGGGATTTTCGACGAAACAAATACCCCCAAAATAGTCACAAACTAGTTCCAAAATAGTCTGGGGACTATTTTGGGAGTATTTTTTTTGTTCCTTTGCCTTTTTGGGGTATTTATGTTTTTTATTTTTCGCCCGAAATCCCCCTGTAGGGAGACACGTCCGACTTAAACAGAAGTTTATGCCATGCCTCGTTTCCCTAGAATCGGGGGCCTGTGGCCGCTCTCCGTCGGCGATGTGCCGCCGACTCCGGGTGGGCGTGCCAGAGGTCCCGAGCCGGTCCCCCTTCCGTCGGGGGCGGAAAAGAGGGGGGTGATGACTAGGGGGGGGTGGATATCATGGCGTGGGCCATGATATTTCCCCAGATCTCGTGGCGCCTCTTCTTATTTCATTACGTCCCTGGCCCCCCCGCTGGGCCGCGCACATGCCGCCGGTCATGATTTTCACCCGCCCCCTCTTGGACACCCCCCTCTTGGCCGCTCCCGATTCCGCTCCCGGAGCGCTCCCGGGTCGCGCGCTGGCCAGGGGGCTCTGCGGCAGTTCTTCGCCGCGGTGGCGGCACGGGGCCCGTCCAGCAGGTCTGCCCAGCAGAGGTGTCACGGACTCGTCTCCTCTCTCTCTCTCTCTCTTGCTCCCTTGCTCTCGTCCCCTCGGGGGACGTCACCATTATTCGGGGAACAAGCGGTTACGTCAGCCCAGGCAGGGTCGCGTCGTAGACCAAAAGTTTGGACGGGAGGTGTTTGGCCATTCTCGGCCTCGTGGGGCCCTCGCCGGGCCTCGGGACCGTCGAAAAAGAACTCAGGATGAAAAACTGGTCCAGGGGAAAGGGTCGGGACTTCCAGGGACCCCGTACTGAAAGAATCGTGACGTCGCATGTCTGGGAACCCAACAGCTCGGAGGTCCGCGCAGATCTCTTGGATCGGCGCTGGGCCCCCCTCCCTGGCGCGCGGAGCGCGCCAGTGGCGGCGCCAGAGGCGCCGACAGCGGGTCCATCGCCGATCCAAGAAATCTACGCGGACGTCCGACCTGTTATGTTTATGTCATCGTCTAGTTCTCTACAACTATCCATATGGTCCGATTCCGGCCAGGCCAACCTCTCCCCCTTTTTCTGGCTCCATGCTCCCCCCCAGCTCCCAATCTGCCTCTGACGGGCGGATGCGCGAAAAGATTCAGTTAATGCTCAATTTGGCTCCCCCCAAAGGGGGGGCGCGACCTGTGCACGCCTCAAGACCGCGGCGCTGAACCTTCATGCTCCGAGGCCTTTCTGCTGATTGCTTATTCTCGATGCTATTGTCCTCATCCTCACCTCCCTCGCTCACGTTTGACTCTCCATCTTGCGACAAGCCCCTCAGCCGTGCCAGCAGCAGCGCAGCAGGGATGAGGAGAAGTGTAATTCCCGTTTCTGCCCAGTTCATTGTCTGAGCCAGCGCAGGTCTTAAACACCACCTCGTTGCCATCAGTCTCGTCCTCTTCCTTCTCTTCTTCCTCATCCTCCGTCTCCTCTCCCTCCATCCTCACTCTTGAATGCGCTTTGGACACCCACTCTGAGTGCGGGGTTCTGGGAACATTTGGTGGC